TCTTGGAGGACGGGCATATGTAGCCAGAGCCACCAAACTGCAGATTGCTCCATTTACACTGACATTTTACCACAAGGCAAAGTTAGATTTTCCAAAGGAAAGCGTCCTTAAACAGTTGTCCAATTTTAAATTGCAGGCCAAATTAGACAGGCTAACTAAAGCCCTAGCCTCTTATTACTGTGATTCAGAGGTCACATTACGAACCTCTCTGCCCCTCCCATGCCCAAGGATAAATGTGGGCATGGCTTTCTTCCTGTGGTGCACTGGAGCGGAGCTCCCGCAGGGCGAGAGAACCCAGGCCATTACACAGCCCCTAGCGTGGGCTGCTGGAGGCACTGCAGAGAAGCCCATTAACTTTGATTCTTTCTCAGATGTATTAAACCGCTGTATACAAGTAAGTTAAGTTTTATGTGTTAAAGCTTGAGCTCTTTGATATTGTCACTTGCTAGCATGGTAAAGGAAGACAGAATCGATTTCTTTCGTGCTTAAGATGAGCAGATGTTATCTGAAACCCAGTTAAGCAATCATCCCTGGAAAGGCTTCCTTTTGGGGTATAGGTCAAGCTGCTAGGCCAGGACTTTGGCTGCCACAGTGAATTTGAAACTTTACTGGGGCTGGGGATTTAGCTCAGCGGCACAGCACCTGCCTGGCAAGCGCAAGGTTGTGAGTTCGATCCCCGGTACGGGAGAAAAACAAACAAACAAACAAAAAAAAGTGAAACTTTACTGAGTGTTAGGATCCGCTGGACAGTTGGTTAAAACATAGCAGGGGAGACTTGCCCTCGTTTGAGGAGGACTTCTAACTGCAGCTATAGGGTGGGCTCTGAGAATTAGTACTTTTAACAAGTTCCCAAGTGATGCTGGGGCTGCTAGCTCTGAGACTACAATCTGAGAAATGCCGGTCTAATGTACTCTCTGGGTGAGCAATTGAAATTTGAGCTTTCAAACACCGGCCCCCTTCCCCTCACTGGGGATTGAAGCCAGGACCTTCACACGGAGCTACACCCCCAACCTGTTTTTAATTGCTAATTTTATTCTGAGACAGCATCTTACTAAAATGCCCACCTGGGTTTAAACTTGCCACCCTCCTGCTTTAGCCTCCAGAGTGTGGGATGACAGCTGGCCCCAAGCACAATTCCTAACTGCTCTGAGGATGGTTCCCTGAGAATGTACTGAGTATGTGCTCACCTATATATTTGCTGCTTTGCATCAAGTGTAATTTACCTGTGAAAACTTTCAGAAGTTTTTCTCAAGTCCTTCGGTAAGATAATAGATTGAAAAATCAGGACACCAAACCCAGTGAACAGATGAGATTATACTTGAATACGATTGGACTCTCAGTGAACAGATGAGATTATACTTGAATACGATTGGACTCTGGTGGGCTTTTCTTAAAAGTCTACAGAACTATAGTAAAGGGCACATGTTTTATTTGGTAAAGAGTATGGAACAGTCTAGATTTGAGATCCATATCCTAATTCAATGGTTTGCATAGTAAACATTCGTCTTGATATTTACATTCTGGCTTTCTAATACCTAATAACTAAAAACTTGTAAGATTAAATTAATGCTACTGAAAAAGGTAACTTACCTGAGCAAACATTTCCACTGTAGCTTGCTTTAGACATCTTAATTTTGTCCAGGAAAGCCTTTTACACATTACAACACAGATCGTTAGTATCATGTGTTGAAATATACAAACTGAGATCTTATGTATTTCTTGGTGTGGATAGCCAGAGGCTATTAGTCTTTGGTATGTATATCAAGTACAATATAGACAGCTTTTGTCATAAATGACTAATCAGCAATGTAATAGAAATTTGTGTCTCACATAAAAATATCCCCTGACTAAAATTTGGCATATATATATGCCAAATTTTAGTCAGGGGATAT